TATATTACTTATTATATATATATTTTATTATATTATATATTTGTATAAAATATGTAAATATATGATGCACGTCATGTGTACGGGGAGGACCCTCTGCAATCACTACGAGAAACGACAGACGCGCTGAAAGGTGTTACGCGATGCGATTCAACTGGCCTTAGATGGCAAGCATAGCCGCTCTGCGTAAAGGATTACATAGCGGGATTAGTAATCTGTCATATATCTCTCGCATCTTGCCGCCCGCCTCCTATGTGATATTACCGCATATTCGGCAGTCTCGTGAGCGCAATTCCCGAAGACCGAGAACAAAGAAGTCGTGAACACACGGGTTGACACCGAGCCGCACTCATCATAAGACATGATTCATAATACGCGAACCTATGCGACTAACACGAATCTGTGCGCTGCCTGTGAAACTGATCGCATCACATAGATAACATTCGCATACTGCGAAGAGAGAAGACGGTGGCCTGGCATTGCGAGGCGTGATGTGCCTGTGACGCGAAGCGCATGCCGCCCTGCACGCGGCGCCTTCGTCGCGCCACCCGCGTGCGACATGGTAAGGTGTTGCCCCTAGGAAGCCGCTCTTGCCACAGGCGTGCTGTTATGTCTGTGCCGCTGAACAGCTCACAGCAGCAAGGGGGCCAGTTTAGCCGTACGTCGTCACTTATCCGCACGTCCTCGTCAGCCGCTGGCGCGTACGAGATCCAAAAATCCACGAATGCACATCGCACCCTAAGCACACTCATCGCGGAGAGTCTCAAACCCACCCCTCGCCCCACACGCGACACACACCACACACCACGCCACGAAGCACGGCCACACACACACACACACACGACACACTACACACACACGCACGCAAAACTCTTGAACGTGAAGCCTAAGGGCAAATACGTCGACAATGGCTATACTTTCTGACGACGAGCCAGCCTTGGCCCCGCGAGCGACAATCCGATTGTAAACGTCGCGGGAGGCTAACGTGCGGGTTCAGGCCGTAAATAGTTGCGGCGTTGTCTGGAAATGCACGTCGCCCGCATTACACGCTGGACGCGCGGACAAAGCTTACGTGCGACGCAACTGCAAATCTGGTTTGCCGTGGTTACACATATGTTCAAGGAATCTCCCCCGCCTCTCTCTTTCTCTCTATGTGTCCCTGTCTCTACGCGTAGTACTTATCGGGGTCACGCAGTCATGCGTTGCCGTTCGTATGTTCCACTCCGACCGAGACATTTATCACAGTGGCGATCACCAGCGCAGAACCAGTACGGAGGAGGAGGAGGAGGAGCGGAGGATGGCTAGTTGGGGGGAGGTGGAGGGGGTGGCTGTTAAACGCGTTTGGCGATTTGTTGTGCGGCCGGTTTAGGCGTGACGCCCACATCAGGCGGCATCAAGGCAGATGAGCCGCTTGTGCGCATAGATGGATAGCTTAGACGTAGGCGCAGATAATGGTGCCTGACGGTGCGGGACGCGTCAGCTGGACAAGTTCGTGACGCAGCGTAACAAAGGTCAACAGGATGTGGGACACTGCCGCGCATATATAGCCGATGACAATACGAGATAAAATCGTGCATGCCCTCCAGGGAGAACGCCCGAATTTCCGGAAAAGCAATCCATGCTGTATGCGAGCGATATGTGTCAATGTGTATGTCGTCTTGTGTCGTGTGCTGTGGGGTGTGTGTGTGATGGGCTGTGTGCTGACGTGCGCGCGTGCGTGTGTGGGTGGGGCTGTGTGTGTCGTCCCGCGCGGTGCAGCGCGTGCGTCTGTGACGTGTGCCTACGTGCTGCAGCGTGTGGATGTACGCGCGCTCGCGCGCGTGCGTGTGACCTGCGCTGCGTGTGCATGCCCTAGCGTACTGCGTGTCCTCACCGTGCTACATTCGTGCGCGCATGCGTGCTGAGAGCACACGTATAGGCCATAAAATGCCTACCTGTCTCGGTGCAGTAGGCCCCTAAAACTTGTCCTTATGTACTCATTCAACTGTCTTACGGCCGACGCGTTCGCCTGAGTCCCCGACGTTCTCTACCCGCACTGCATGCAGGCCAGTTCCGAACTGGCCCGGTGCCGTCCAGGCTAGACGGCACTGACGAGTGATCAGGTGTTGACTACGTGTCCCGCGCACCATGGCCACCGGTCGTCGTACTGCACCGTGCCATTTGCAGCTCCGATCCTCACTCACAGTTCGTCTGCGTTCGACTTAGGGCCTGCCGCTGATGGTTCGCAGTTCCATCTACTCATCTCTCTCTCTATCACTTTCTCTCTCTCTCTCTCTCTGCTCTTTCACTTCTCTCTATCTCGTTCTCTTCTTCTCTCTTGTTGTTTCCTTCTTTCTCCTCTCTCTCACTCACTCACATTTTCTCACGTGCCGCACGAGAGAAGCAGCGATCTAGCTCGAAGACACGCACGCCGCGCCGACACCTCGCGCCCTCTTCCGCCACCCAACCCCCGCGAAAGCCCCTACCAGCGCGGGCGATCGCAGCCAGCCAATGACGAAGCGACAGCGTATGTAGTCAGTCCAGCGACTGACGCCTTGCCTAGGAGCAGCGCGTCCCTACGGCTCCCGTCTCGCGGTGTTTGACAGCTGCAGGACGTGCGGGCGCGACGCTCGCTGTTAGCGTACGCGCTGCTTTGGCCGTTCGTCCGGACGGAGGAGCCGGCTGCGCTGCAGCCGCTCTTATATGAGTCATACACGCGCCACCTCCGTACACAAAGCCGGCCCCGTATACATGTACGTATATATTAATATCATACGTGTTGTGAGTGCGTTATTATATTGTAAACACGTAGACCGCGCTACCTACACGCTGAACTGACTGCCGCTGACGGCTACAACTGTGAGCGGACGCTGCCGCGACCGCTCGTTCAAATTGGCACGGGCGCGTACGCTCGCATACCGCCAGCCAGCCGAATCGCGGCACGGCCCAGACGACCGCCGCCGCCAGCCCAACGGCCAGCCCGCCCGGGTTATGCTATCGTCTGCTGCAAACAAGCGCGCGCGCCGCATGACGACGCCGCTGCCGCGTCCACCGAGCGCTGAACTTTGAACGCGACCAGCTCTCGAGAGCGCGCTGCCGTGCGCGTGCATAGCGCGACGGACGTGACATTTACAAACTGACAGCTTTTCCGCGTTGATTTCACGAACGGAACTGTCGGAGCTGACCGCACCGTCGAATGAGAGGCGGCTTGCCCAATACGAACAACTCGAGACCCAGACAGACACACAGATTCACCGACAAACTACATCAGAATACGTTAACAAGCTAGAATTCGGCGTGACGCACACCCACGGGTGGGATTTCGGGCGGAAGCACCCCCCCCCCCCCCACACACACATCCTACGCAACCGACCCTAATATAGTCGCAAACTTCGAGATGACGAGTAAAGTTAGTAAGTAGGTTAGTAAGTGTATTGTAAACACATTCGACTCGTATGAACTCATCGACGGGGCACGGGTGTGTATATTGTGCTGGATGCGGCGTGCAACACTATAGGCGTGGTTGTTGTACTGTCGCGGCAAGGCGCGCGCGCGCGTGGCCACAAAGGACGGTCGCTGGGGCTAGCAGGTGTCGTGACGTCTGCGCGCCTAACGGCCGACCAGCGGCCGACGCGCGCGTGCATCGCCAGCCGACGCCACGCGCTAATGTAATTATTACTTGCAATTAATAACGGCGGAATATTGTCACAGCGTCGCACGCCCGCGCGCGCGCGGTATTGCTGCTGATAGAGAGCGGCTGGCCGGCGTACGAACGCTGTCGCCACCCTCTCCTCCGCCTCCTCCACTCGCGCCCACTGCAGATGCACTCCTCTAGGGGAGAGACCAGCGACAAAGGGAGGCAAAGAGCAAAAAAGTCAGCGTAATTAGCATAAGGGGCCAGGCGTTCAGCGGTGACACAATAGCCACGTTGGGGGAGATTCGGTATTTCGAGTGTCTAGACACAACAAAATCCTACAACAAAATCCTACCACGCGACCGCGTGTGTGTGTGTGTTACCCCTATACTAGCTTTTAAGTCTTTTATACTAGCTTTTAAGTCTCGAGCCCCAATTAAACCGGGGACCTCTTCCCCTAGCACTCACTACACACAAAGAAAAAGAGAATAGAGTTAATCACGGTAGATATATACGCTATTTTTACCGACAGATTAGTGCTTATTGGAGTCGAATAGCGAACATCATAGTTTACGGCTATATTTAGTGTCATCTCAACAAGGTGCACACACACAAACCGTAATAACCTAACATGGGATAAATTGGAAGCGATTACACAAGAGTTAATTATCGGTTGCGAGTCCCTGCTTATTGTATTATTTAATTAACACATTGTTACTGCATATTAGCGCGAGGAACAATGGGTGTAACGGCAATTTTAAGAAAGATAGAACGAAAATTGAGCATTACAAAATGGTAATAACCATAAAAGTTTTAAATACTATATAGTAAAGTAGAAATTAAGATTACAATTGCATACATACTAGTCTGGTCGGTTGGCGCAATATTACTGTAATCAAGACCACTCCATCTTTTTTTTTTGAGAAAAACAAAGGAACATTGTCTAGCGGTACACTATCTTACTTTAAAAAAAGTAGAGATATTATTTATTAGCAACGTGGTTATGTAATTAGTACGGAGTTTTTCTTAAACATTTCAAGCAATTACCATCAGTGTTACAGCTCGAATCCAATTTCCTAAATGCCATGATGATGGCATATGAAAATCCATTACCGGTAACTTTCACTGCCAGGGCGGCAGATTTGGAAGGTCATTACGTAAAAAGACGATGAAATCATGATACTATATTTTGGTCGTAAGAAAGTCGCTTTTTTTACGTTTGTAAAAGTCTATCCGGTCAGCGTATTAGCCTAGCTATAAATATATAATTCCGTTCTAAATGACTAAATCCGCCTGAGCATAATCGACCTTGCAAATGAATCATTCTCCAGGGTAACACTGAAGATACATGTAATCTGGATAATGCATTCCTGACATAATGCTTGCAAAGCAGCTTCCGTACTATAATTATGCCGTGTTCACACCAAATGCGGGTCAATATAGAACCGAGTTCAAGGAATGATACAAAGTAATGTTCAGTGGCGCCATCACGCGACGTAAAACGCCATGAACAAAACGAACACCGTATCCACATTTCTTTAGATGAGAGGCTAAGTACAACACCTAGTTCTGTTCACCGCCATACGACAGCGCGAGACAAGATGCAAATAAGAAAGGCCGAGTGTCTGCCATTTTGGTCTTTATATTGGTTATTGAACATATAACAGAACGATCAGAATTGGCGAAGTTACAAAATACGTTGTGATTTCTACAAGCATGCGAAATATTAAATTTAAATGTGTTGAATTAGAGCTCATGAAAAATAGCTAAATCTATTTATTCAGCATGTATTAAGGAAAGAATGAAATTGCACATGGTATATTAGCCTCGTCTACACGAAGAAATTTGTCTCGGGTTAAGCGTCTATACGAGGTCTTAACTCAGGTTAAGCTAAACCGGGTTAGGCCTTAACCCGAGTTAAGACTCACGTAGACACGTGCGAAATCGTTAACTCGAGTTAATTCGAGTAGTTATCAGTACTTGCATACCGCAGTCAACCCCGCCTCCCGCTAGCTGCCGTTAGCTTAACTCGGGTGAAGACAAACTCCGTGCAGATGATGCATGTTTCTTAACTCGGGTTAAGTGTTAACTCGGATTAAGTGTAAACTCGGGTTAAGTGTTAACTCGGGTTAGCTAAACTCAGGTTAGCTCAACTCGGGTTATGGTGACTCCGTGTAGACGAGGCTATTGTATAGGAATCAATGAATTTTAAACTGTTAACGATTCATTGACTTTCTATATATTATAAACGTAACACATTATATAGGAAATGAACTAGGTAATGTATTCACAGGCATGCTGATTCACTTGGACCAAACCCAGTTCGATGCTAAAAATATGTAACTTCACCACCACAAAATATGTAAACAGCACAGGAATTTTCACGTTTTTCACAAATCACCAATATATTATTTACCACTGAATATAGTGCCATAGAAAAATTGCAGCACTAACTAATGCAGCAGTTATTGTTTTTAGGAGCACATTCAATCAGAATCACAGAATTGATTAAACCACTTGGAAAAGAATGGAAACTAAGAAATGAATCCAATCAGCACACAACTAAAGCTGGGTTTACACTTATCGAAAAGTCGACGAGTTGATCAACTTTTCAATGTTCTATCAACCTTTCTATCTTCTTTCTTTTTACATTATCAACTGCAAGTCAGCAAAGATGGCAAACGTTTAAACATATTACCCGCATCGTGCACGCAGGACGACATGGATACGCATTTTTGCACGTAATATAACGGGCCAGGTGCAGCCCATATGGCGCAGATAACAAAAATCGAGCGCGGAAATAATCTCCCCCTGGGTGGAGGAACACATCTGATTGCTATCATCACAGAGGCTGCATGGCAAAAAGTTAAAGAAAATAGAACATGTTCTAATCTCTCAACTAGTTGAGCGCTAAACCTCTATGTTTACACTGCCGATTTTCGGTCGATTAGTTGAAAAGTTGATCAACTCGGCAACTTTTCAACAGAAAGTTGATAGTGTAAACCCAGCTCAAGAGTGATGTAAATAATGACTCTCCAATCTGGTGTAATCGCTTAAGGATCGTTTCAGAAGCACTACATGGTTCATACAGGACTGCAACAATTTTCAAGGACCTTTCAAGGACATTTTATCGGAAATTCAAGGACATTTTATCGGAAATTCAAGGACATTTTATCGGAATTCATACACAGAACAAAACATACCTGGATTAATTTAATAACCCCATTCTTAATTACTGTCACTTCTACAACATACCTTGATTTACTGACTGATTTTACTGACTTACTGTAATTTGTGATCATCATTTAACTGTCTATCGTGTCTATAGCTTTTTAAGCTCATTTAACGCAATTTTCATTGAGGTTTGCACATTATTGATGGTACAAAATTTCTTTTTATTACAGGCAAGGATTCTTTCTAAAAATTCAAGGACATTTTCATGAAATTCAAGGACTTTTCAAGCACAAAATCAACATTTACTAAATTCAAGTACTTTTCAAGGACTCCCCTCAAATTCAAGGACTTTTCAAGGACTGTGCGAACCATGCACTACTTTGACAGATGAGTCGTGCTGTAAATCTGAATCACCATGTAAACATCAAGCGAGCATAGTTATGCGGACCTGCGGTCGGGAGCATGATTGCCAGTTACCAACAAACATCACACTAACCGTGTGTGTGATAAAGTTTGAGCACCTGCATATTACTCAAGATTCCTAGGATTAATGAACTAGTGACTTTCCCCCAACGTCGAATAAGATTGAGCACTCACATAGATGATGAGCTCTAATCACACTGTTACTACGTGCCCAAGATTGACCTGCATGCCAGATTGAACGCATCACGCTTGAGCGATAGTTTTAACAAAATTTCACCGTGTGCAGTGTTGTAACAAGAACTGTATCCAATAACTACATACCTGTAAAATGGCTCTAATGGTTTACAAATGAGAGCACAATTACTTGGTTTTAGCCATTAGTTCAGTTAGTTCGGACCAGGTGGTGGTGGTGGAGGCTCTACAATTAAAACAGAACCACATTATAGGTATCAGGAGCTAAAATCATATAAAGAGATGAAGTGATATTCCTTATTACAAGCCGATGACACTATACATATCCAAACGTCAACAGGCTGACATTTCCCAATACAAAGAACACAAAAATAAAGTGCACATATTCCCCAGAGAAATTGTTCAGTGTACATTCTATGAATGAAGCAACTCAGTCTAGTCAGAGTACTTAATGGACAAGTGGTCCGCATGGGCCCATTGAGAAGCTATTTCATCAAAATTTTATAAGTTTACTTACGTTCATCAGGTTGGGGAGGTTGTTGCTGATTGGTCATCTGCTGTCTCAACATATCGACTAACTCAGGGTTCTGATGTTGCATTTGAGAGGCAAGCTCTTGCCCTCTATAGGAACAAAATCAAAACTATATCAGACAGAAATAGCTTATGGCTGAAGAAATTGCTTGCATATGTCAAATTTCAGTTGTAACTAGAAAGGGCAGTTGTCGCCAAGTACATGTATCCCCCGTGATCTAGCATGAATGAAATATCTCTGTAAGGACGTAGAAGGTAGGTAAAGTTAAATAAGTCACAAAGACAAAGGTTTGTTACACAACTCATCTGCCTGAGATGTGCAAGTATGTTAAAATTGGTTGCCTTAGGGGTTTTGGTACGCGACACATTTTCTCCCCAAGATGTGTAAGTATACGAAGTTTGCTCGCGCTAGGTCAATTAGGGGCGAGTTATAGAGCAGAAGGGAAATATGATGAAGGTCAAGGTCAATGTCAAATAAAGGTTGCAGTGACTTGGTTTCAGTACGCGACGCACCTTCTCCCCAAGATGTGTAAGTATACCAAGTTTAGTAGCGCTAGGTCAATTAGGGGCAGAGTTATAGAGCAGAAGGGAAATATAATCAAGGTCAAGGTAAAGGTCGTAGTGACCTGGTTTTGGTACGCTGGTCACCACTGCGATGGCTCAATGGTTGAGTGCTCGCCTCGTATGTGGAAGGTCGGGGGTTCAACTCCCGACCGGGTCATACCAAAGACTTGAAAAATGGTACACACGGCTTCTCTGCTTAGCATTCAGCAAATAGAGATAGAGTGTGGCAAGTTAACTCGCAGTGCTACAGTGGACTAACCCCCTACTGTAGCATTTACTGTGAAAGCAGCTGCGGGGCCTCAGGGTTACAGAAACGGAGATAGGCACCGCCCTATGCGGCTGTAGCTATACGCTATGCGTATGAAGGCGCGGGAAGGATTTAACTTAAGGTCAATTAGGGGCCGAGTTATAGAGCAGAAGGGAAATATGATAAAGATCAAAGTCAAGGTCAAGGTAAAGGTCAAATAA